CGGAAGTTTGAGCGTCGCGGAGCGCGCGAGCCGTGACTCCTCCGTGGGAGCTGCCTCACGGGCGGACCCGCCCCGCCATGAACCTGGAGAATAAAGTGAAGAAGGTAAGTGGGGCTGCCCTCCAGGTTGTCTGCCGCGCATGCCGGTGTCCGCTCTCTGGGGAGCGGCGCACCCGCCTCGTCGCTGCAGCTCCCGCGGGGACTGCCCTGGGATCCCCCGGCTGCCGGGATCAGCTCTTGCCGGCGCCCCGCGCTTCCCGCCCGGGCCCCGTGGCGGAGGTGGGAGGCAGGAGAGCGGTCTGCCGGCTACCCCCGGAGCTGGGCTGCCTCGCTGCTCCCGGACCGTAGCTGGTCGCCGCAGCTGGTTCCCCTGGTGGGGTCATACATACTGTCATGCAAGTAAAACATGTGTTCGGTCCCCCCCAGTAAAAGCCTGACATCTGATGGTTGTTTCTATGTACGTGCGCTGTGTATGTTCGTATGAAACTTAAATTACAAACAGCCAAGTCGCTGTTTGTGGTTATGTTAGTGATTAATTTCAGACCTGTGATGTGACTGACTCCTTACAAGTGTGTTATCAGTGTTCTTATGGATTACCCCCTTGAGGGAGAAGCCTGAGCTTGAATTTGCATTCTTTTTAAAGGTATATTGACTAATTAGTTGTGTCAAACTGTCAAAAAACAAAAGGTAAGTAAAAGAAAGCAATAGGTAATCCAATTGTATTCAATCTCTTTCAAAAACTCACTATTTAAAACTTCTATGTAAGACTGGCTTCAGGTAGGAGGCTCGTGTAAGTCTTTGTTTCTAGTTCTTTCACAAATGAAATATAGTGCTGACCTTTTTTAAAAATAAAAGCTTATTTGTATCTCTTTTGATACTATTTGATAAGGGGAAACGGAGCTTTTTATGTGAATATGGGTTAAATCTATACATAACAACCTTCACTGATACCTGAAAAGTAGTCTTTTGAAATGCATGTTGTGTGAATGTGTGTGGGGTTTACTCCTGAATTATTTTATTTAAAGATAGCAACTTGTTTTAAAATACACATAAACACTCTTGTGTATCTATGTGCTTTTCCAGCTTGCAGACTACAATCTGACTTGGGGGGGAAGTAGGTGTGTGTGTGTGTGGTGTGGAAGACTACCTGTTGAGGCTGAATCCTAGCAATGCCTTGAGGTGCAGCTTGCTTCAAGTGATGTCACCATGTGATAGTGTCACTTGGGTGAGGATCCTGCTTTGGAGAAGCTGCCTATCTCAACCCCCAGTCATTAGGCCATCAGCATATAGAGTAGCTAAGTACTGTCGCTGTGTTTAGAAGCTAGATGAGTGCACAGGGTCATTCCCCTTGTATGACTCCTTGATACAATGAAAATAAGCTTTTTAAGTAGATTTGCTTATATTTTCTAAGCACACTTTAAAACTTGATGGCATCACAGAGCTTGTTCGCTGGAAGTTTTTGAACTCCAGGAGGTGAGAGATGCATTTTTGTGGAAGATAGTGCATTCTAATTCAGAATTTATTAATCTAAAGAGAAAATAAGCATGGGGTGTAAAATGACTGATAAAATTCTGCAGATAATAGAGTCTTGGTTTGAGTGAACTTGCAGTTGCGGAACATCTGCTTTAAATTGAACTGTAGTTATTGGGTAGTTGTGTGTGTTTTAAATTTATTTGACTATTATTTGATCATCTTTTACTTTTCTTCATCAACTTTGAAGATTCTTGAAGACTTTTCTGAATCTGCTTAGATAGACACAGAAGCTGCTGCCACAAAAGAAACCAGCAAAGCTCCATTTAGTGAAAGTAATATTTCTATTCTGATCTGCTTTACTGTTAATATACAAAGATGTCTGTGATTTGAAAAACTTCAAATATTCTCTGTTTCTACTATATGTATATTCAGAAAACTATTTCTGTTATTGTGCTGTTCCCTCTCCCCTGCTTACATTTTCAGCTCATCTTCTTTCTATCTGTAACTTGGGTGAAGCTTATTTTCCAAGAGAACAGAAGAGGCTCTGTGAATGTCCCTAAGGAGAACTGGGAAGCTTTGCTAAATACCAGCGAGTTTGGTACAAAATTCTTTTTTGACTATCAAGATTTATTTAATCAAAACTTCTTTGATTTTGTACACTGAACAGAGTAACAGTTCATGTCAACTCTGGAGTAACTGTGTGTCTTCCTTTTCTGTCCTTTAATTCCAATTCTCAACCTGTTTATCATCTTTTTGCTTCTGTCTTTTTTTCCAACTTCCTTCTTTGTTGAAGGGTGGAAGAAAATTCTGAGAAGTTTCAAATCAAAATTATTAAAACCAGTGAACTACTTGACTTTTAGAAAAAACTTGTCCTGAGGTGGAGATGCCTGTGTCAGATTTTTAGTCCTTCAGCAGCAATGGGTTGCTCAGCCACATGCTGTAGTTCTCACCTGTCTTTGTCTTGCAGCCGGAAGTGAAAATCGTTTGAGTTCCCTTACAAAATGTACTTTGTACTTTATGTAACCTTTTATTTTGTAGTGACTTGTACATATTTATTGCCTGGGGAATAACCTGGTAAACATTACAGACTGGTGAGTGGATAACCTGCCTGTTGGGCAGGAAGTTCTTAGAACGCTGGGCAGAAGAAAGCAGGAATTGTCATGTTGTCCCCAGATCAGTAATTCCATTGCATTTTTGAACTCTGAGTTTAGATGTTGACTATTCTGTAGCCCTGGTGTTAGCAGAGCAGAAGGAAATGAATGCCTGTTGGAGCAGCATGCCATGTGTAGGCTCAGACACTCAGCTGGTGCTGTAGAAAAGCTTCTGCCCCTACCTACAACTGCTAATTTATAACTGTACTGGGTAATATTTCGGGATGTTTTCTGTTTCTGGAAAATTTGATAGATGAAGTTTCCAAGGTGACATTCCTAAGATTTCTCTAAGTGTCAGTAATCCATGAGTCCATTCATCAGTTTTGAGCTTCTGTATTGTCTCTTTGGAAAGCTGCTACGTACATTTATATCTGTATGCCTAGGTTTGTATGAAGAAAAAAAGCACTCAGAGAAAGTCTGTTTTCAGTGTTGATACCAGGTTTGGTGGTGGGTTTTCTTTCTCCAAATGTAACAGTTGTAGCACAGTCTGACTGGAATTGCTTCCCTCCACTGCAAGACCACTAGGGCTCCAACAAAGTACTTCAGCAGGAAAAACTACTGCCCCATCTACCACAATTGCTGACTTTTCATCTTTTTGGCAGTGGATACCTTACACATTTGGTGCCCGTGACAGAAAAGCAACAGTCCTGTTTAACGTACCCTTCTTAAGGAATCTTAAGGGCACAACTGCTTTGGCTCAGACTTTTAATTTAACTCTTGTTTGGTTTCTTTCATGTAAAACTCATTTTGCTGTCTTAACAAGTGGCCAAAGGAATCAGTACTGCCATGTAGCCAGATGTCTCACTTGCTGTGAATCTTGGGCTCTGGACAACCACAGCCAGCCAGAAACAGAAATTTCAGCACTTTCTATACTGAGCAACATACATGCAGAGCATATGCAAATGTGTGGAATAACATGTAAATTTTTTAGTCAGTTCATCATGTTTTTTAAAGCTATTAAATAGCTTGCAAACATCTAGGCAGTGAATAGTGTCTTTTTGGCTCCGTGTGAATACTGAAACTTTCCTGATCTGTTACAATTTTCCTTTCAAGAGGATGGGGAGTTTAGGGGAAACTGTAAAATTTTCTTTTTCTCAGGAGGAATTGGATTTGCCATTGCGTTTGAGGCTCATGAAGGTGGTGTTTGTATTAAACGATTGCACAACAGATCTGAAGGGTAAAAACAGTAGCTACAGCTTGAGAAGTACTTGTGAAAAAAACAGACCACTGTTTCTCCCAAATACAATATATGCTGTGTTCTCAAATCTTTCTTTGAGGCTATGGGGAAAATGAAGATTTAATGCTTTGTGTTGAATACTGTAGCAGAACTTTGTTTCAACAGCCTGGATTCCTGCCCTGTCTGCCACCTCTGTGAACTTGGTAAAATGAATCAGTAGGTCACGGTCCTGCTTTTCAGTCCTGCTGGCAGCATGGTCTCATGCTTCACTAGAGAAAATAATCTGGCAGTGAGTCTGTTCTATATAGACTTTCACAGTATAATACTTGCTTTATAAAAAGAACTTTGCCTGTGGTGGAGAAGGGTCAGGGCCGTTTGGGGGAAAGGGGTGCAACTTCTCTAATGTAGAATTTGTGTGTGGTTGTTTTTCAATGGTGTGAGACTTAGCAGTGTCTAAATCACTCAGTGTTTGGTTTTCCAACTAACAGAAGAAACCAAATCAGCAAATTGATCTTTGATAAATGAACAGTGAATAAAGTATGTATAGGAGCAAAGTCAACTTTTCTGTGTTTTGCAAAGCATGATTTAATGTCTGCTGGGCTGCACTTCCTGTTGAGGTCACTGTTTGTTTTGGTGTTACTGCTATGGAAACCCATTATAGCAGATCTTTTTTGCTGTTTCATGCCTATAGTAAGATCAAGGAAATGTACTTTTATTCAGTGGTGAGTTTTGCCTGCAAGTGGAAGAATGAAAACATATTTGTAGGCATGAGAGGAACTACTTCAGGTTTGTTCACAAGGAAACTAAGTAACTGCTTCCTGCATATGCAATGGGGTTTGAGGGTTTTTTCTCCCATCAAAGTTTAAAAAAAACCAGCAAACCATGTGAATAGTGTTTTGGAGCATCTGTCTGAATCCATACCTCTAGTTATTTTTTGTATATCATCCCTGGATAGAAGTT